TTTTTAAATGAAACCTATATTAAGGTGAAGCATATGGAAGAATGGCAATTCGGTAAATATACGAAATTTGTGGCAGTTAGACATCTGGTTTTAGGTACAGTGTGCAGAGAAGGAATCCTCTGTGCTCGTGCAGCATGCAATCAATCCTAGCCGTTGAATTATAATATACTAATTCAACGGTTTACATAAGAGCAATTTTAAAAAAGTTTCAGACAAACACCTCAAAAGAAGAGTAAAAGGCTGCCTTTAGATATCTTGAATATAGTTGAACGGTTAGTGGTCGTTACATAATTTTAAACGCATTTTTATTTTAGTAATTATAGTTACTTTCACACTTTTTAGTACACAGTATGAGTATAGTTATTAAACTTTGAAAATTTTAGAGGTCAAATATAAGTATCAAATTTGAAAAGTTGTATTACAGTTTTACAGTCAATGCATAGTCGGACCAAAATAAACACAACTGTCAGAAGAAAAAAACATGGGCTGTATACTACTTTTTGTTCATTTTATTTCTTAAGAAGAAAAAATAAAACAAATTTGGGAATTGAAGACTCTGCAAATACTGCAAGAAGCCATTTTCACACCTTTTGAGGAAGCCATTTATTTTGTTTATTTATTTTCATTTTCTTGATGAGAAGTCGAAGAAGATATCTTTCGTAGCAAAAATGTTTTGACTACATTGGAACTAGTGATTTTAGTTTAACTAATATAAACATGATTTCTCCAAAAATCACGGTGTTAATGACTAGGGTCCAGACAGAAAATCATAGTAGATATCGTTAATCGTGACGGCATTTAAAAAGATACGATTGATGTTAATTTTATATAGTACTATGCTGCATGCTTTTATTACAATGGGTGTCAATTATTCTCGAATATGAAAGGGCGACCCAACCTTGCTTGTTAGGAGTATTTAATTAAAGACCGTTTTTTCTTTCGAATCTATAGTATTTTGATAGTGTTGTTTGTTGTTCGAATAGGATTTTAGTTTTTGTGTTTATTCTATTGCTTTCAAACACAAAATGAAACTAAAAACATAAAAAATTATCTTATATGTCGATTTTGAACCAAATAAAACTATGTGCATGTTTTTTATGAATCTCATAAAATTTTATTAGTTT